AAACTAATCATATATCATCAATGTGTCAGACTTCAAAGTAATTCAGCAAACAAAGGATTGTCTTTTTATCAGAAAAAGAACATATAAGACGTTTTAATTATCTTTTAAATTTTCGATTAGAAAATTCTGAAAAGTACGAATACGAGTCAATGTCTAATTCAGAGGAATTTATGTTTATAATAATATTATAGATAAACATTTTCCATACTCATGAAATAAATTACAAAGTAAACAGTATTTTAGTAAGAGCTTTATAAATAAGCTCTTACGTTCTTAAGCTCTTAAGTTCATAAAATGCGTTCAATGTGAATTAAAGTTACCGAATACATAAAAGTCACACGACTCTAAACACAATTGATACTGGGACTCATATAAATATGAAGAGGCGTTAATCTTAAACACACTTACCCCAACAGTTGGCTCTACTATAACTACAAATTTTTGAAAAGTATTTATTTGTACTTTCACATACATCTTAGAAGTAGACTGAACTAGTAGACATCAAGTTATTAAACATAGACTTTCAGATGCCTAGCGGTACCTATATGAACAGTAGAATAATAGCCCTACTAACGGCTGAATATCGTGTCCTCTACATACTGTCTTAGAGAATATAATTTGATTGTTGCAAGGCTGATTATTCAGTTGTAGTTGCGTGCCCAGATTGTCAAGCTCGCCAACCAACTCGTTACCTTTTACTACCCAGAAGCCCAGAAATCCAATATTTATGAAGCATTTTTCCAACATTTGTTTGCATTGCATTGGAATATGTTTCTGTAAGAAATACTATGGCTTGCTTTCACCATATATTTAGGGTAGGTATATTTGCGCGGGAATTTAGTACTTATACAGTTTTCTCCGGCATCCATTTCCATTGCATTAAAGTACAATTCTGTACTATGGTTTGCTTTCATCATTTCTTAAAGTTTTATAAATATGTAATATTAATTTAAAATCGTTTCAAAACTTAATTTAATTTTTCAGTGATAGTGATGTACTTAGCTTGGTAAGCTCGCCAGCCATCTCATTAGGTTTTATGCCTATACGCATGGGAATTCAGTACTTATACATCTTCCTTTTGGCAGCCATTTAAAAGTGAAGTGGCCTGCTTTCCATACATCTTTAAGTTTTACAAAAATGAAAAACTTAATACAAATTCTTTTAACACTATTAAATGATTGAATATTAACACGATTTTTATTACAATGGCATAAAATATAAACAATCTCCCACAATCTCTCCAACATCTTAAAATATATGACAGTTTATTGCACTTGCGAACTAAGAAAACATTTATCATCCTAAAGTCTCACCAATACCAATGAGAAAATACAATCCGTTAACGAATAAAGCTGATGAATAAATATTATTCAATGCAATAAAGGAATGCTACTCAATTCCCATTGATTCGGAAGCAAATTTTCCGTTTAACAATTCAGTCTGAAGTAAAATGGATTGAAAACGCGAATATTTTCATACAAAATCCTTTTGAATTTTGAATTAAAAACTGCATCTGAATTGAATTTTTCACATGAAATCATATCCCTTGACAATTTTTAATCCATTAGAGATAGAACGATAGTTTGTTAGGTTTTGCATAATCAACAAAGTATAAAAATATAAGTTAGAATTTGAGTTAAAAAAAGATTTAAGTAAATTGGCTTAAAATCACATAAAGTTAACGAAAAAGTATAAAATGTGTGATCCTTAATAGATTTGCTTTATATTTGCTGTTATGTTCCTATAACTACTCAAAACTGAATGCATGCAGGCACGTTCAATTCAGAAAAAAAAATTATTTGAGCAAATATCGAATTGATAGTTTGGTTTTCCAAATGACAGCTTATTTGCTACACTCGACAAACAGTTTTAAAACAAATTCTTCCACAACGAAATGTTTTCTGTAGTTTTCATTTCATTTGCT